TTTGTCTCCCACCCACTACACCATTATGGAACAAATTGCCCCCAAAATGCAGTGGCTTGACACCTTACAAGGACTTATCTTACTCTTTACCTTTGATAGGAATCCAGGCAATATGCAGCAAACAAAGTGTCATGTAAGGCTTTTGTCTCATCTGAAGGTTCAATAAAACGGTCAGATCTTTTCCCAGACTCAAGTCCATGGTGCGCTGAGTCCTGCTCTCCAACTAGCAGGGTTCAGTTCAGCATGGGGTGTTGGCCAGAAGCTCTGCTCAAGTTCCTTACCATGTCAGTTTCTCCACAGGCCAGTTCACAACATGGCAGGCACCTTCCATCAGAGCAAATAAGTGAGAATGAAGAGAAATGGGCTAGATGGAAATCAGTCTTTTGGTCGCCTAATTTTGCAAAACATGCCTCATCACATTTACCTTATTCTATTTATTAGAATCAAAATACCATGTTCAGCCTACCCTCAAGGAGAAGGTATTACGTGAGGGCACAACACTGGGATGTGGGCCATACTAGTGGTGGCCAGCTACACGTAGCAATAAAGCATTTCCTAGTTAAATGAGCTCAAGTGGTTTCTGTTGTATACAAATGAGCCATAACCAAAGCACTCCCAAGGCATCATGGGGCTATATTCTGCATGCTCTGTGACACATAAAAGCCGGCTCCAGAAGTCTCTTCATTCACAATTTCATAAGAAGAGAGGCGTGAAGGGACCTCTACCACCCTATTCATGACCTGAATTAGACCAGCCAGAAGGGCCTCTGACAAACAGCTCTCTGCCCCTTCTTTTCCTCCTCTTCAAAGTGGGAACAATAATGTACATCTCACAGGGCTGTTGGAAGGCATTGGCCTTCTTTGTGTTTGTCATGCTTAATGAAGTGTGGGTCTGTGTATTTCAGAACCCTGATATTCTGCTCTCTGACATGATTCTGAAAACTTCTCTTTAGAAACAGTTTCTTACTCATTCTTTCCATTGTGTCCATCTGGGATGAGAGGTGCTGAATTCTGGCCTTTATGGTCTGCACACCTTTGTGTCACAGTTGTGGATATGTAATGCTACATAGCTCCGAGTCCCGGTGGATGTAATAAAGGTGACTGATCAGTTGACCATGAAATAGGGAGACCATCTTGGGTGATCTGGTGGGTTCAATGTCATCACATGAGTCCTCGAAAGCAGAGAACACTCTCCAGCATGGAAGCATAAGAGATATAGCAGAAGAAGTCAGAAAGATTCCAAGTTTCAGAAGGTTTTGAAACACTCTTGCCGATTCTAGAAGGAGGGCCATACCCGAGGACCAGAGAGAGGTCATGGGGAGCTAGGAATACTTCCCAACCGACAGCCAGGAAGGACACACAACCTCAGTCCTACAACAAAAGGAACTGCATTCAGCCAACAACCTGAATGACCTTGGCTGTAGATTACTTCCCAGATCTTGCAGCAAAAAAACACAGCTCTCCTGAGAGCCTGGTTTTAGGCCAGTAAAACTTGTGTTAGAAACTTAACCTATAGAACTGTGAGATAAATTTGTGTTGTTTTAAGCCACTGTGTTTGTGGTGATTTCTCATGGCAGCAATAGGCTACTAATATTGCTAATATGCTAGACTTTGTTATTCTAACCTACCTATCTCTTCCTCTCTCTGGGAGTTCCCACCTCCTCATTTCTATTTGCTGCATTCCAGAGAGCTTGCTTGCATTTATCTCACAGTTCACCAATCCATTATCAACTGCGTAGGTGTTTAGCCTGTCCTTTGAGTTTTGATTGCAATGACTAGAGTTTCTATTTCCGGAAAACCCTTTTTAATAAAATGTATCTTTTTAAAAGTGATCGCTTCACCATGTTTATGGATCTCACTCTTCATAGACTGATTTCAGCGATATCTACGTTGGTCATGTGTAGTTTTTATCTGAATATCCCAACACCTGGGAATCCTTTGACTCTAAATTTCTGGTTTCTTGTTTCGGCTAACTTCCATTAGGGGTTGTTTCCTTGTGTTGTTTCCCACCCCACCCCCTTGTTCTCTGACTCAATATTCTCGGGCAAGAAGTTTATTTTTCTGGGGGTGCCTGGTTGGCTCAGTCGGTTAAGCGTCTGCCTTCGGCTCAGGTCATGATCCCAGGGTCCTGGGATCGAGCCCCCCATCGGGCTCCCTGCTCGGCAGGAAGCCTGCTTCTCCCTCTCCCGCTCCCCCTGCTTGTGTTCCCTCTCTGGCTGTCTCTCTCTCTCTCTCTCTCTCTGTGTGAAATAAATAAATAAAATCTTAAAAAAAAAAAGAAGTTTATTTTTCTGGAAGCCTCAGCTTCCGTAGCAGCAAAGCTGCATGCAAATGCCATTTTCCCAGTGTTACCTGGCAAGTAAGAACAGAACCAATCATCAGCCCTATTTCTTCCCCCAGTACTATTTAGATATCTATACCCTACAGGTTCTAGGAGTCCTCCTACCTGTGTGAGAGCTTCCTGTCTGCTCCAGACCACATTTAATGCCCCCATTCTCTGAGATCTTACTCTCATCCTGTGTTCTCCCGTACTGCCCCACAACAGTTTCCTGCGCTTATGCCTATCACCCCCCCCAAGTTATTTTGGGCTCCTTAAGAGTGGGGACTGAGTCCTATGCTACCTGCTGATGTTTTCCATATTTCCTACCATAGTGCTAGGCTGGGAGCAAGCCACATATCACACAAGGGGCCCCTTGTGCTGGGCAAGTCTCTGAACCACTGACACTTAGTACTCTTCTTCATAAAACAGAGGTAGATTTGTCTAACAGAGGCACTTTAAAAAGAAAATGAAATAAGAGATATGAAGAATTGGTAAGTACTTGATGAATAAATACCTTCCTTCAAGACTATTGCCAGTCTCCTAGCAATCTCTTTCATTCGTGGCCAGGCAATGATTTTATACACATTATACTGAAACAAACATAGATAACAGAAATGGTACAGATGAGGTAATCATACAGATAAGGCAACTAAGCCTTCAACGGTTAACTAACTCATTCAGCATTACACAACTATAAAGGGTACTTGAATCAAGGATGCTGTGACTCCAAATCTGGGAAGAGGGGAAGGATTCTAGAAAAGGAAAAGTCTTATTTTTGATTAGTGTTCCCACTAAGACATATTCACTAGATCTATTCTAGAAAGTCAACACCAAAGAATAGAGAGAGGAATGACTGATGAAACACTGGGTCTCTCCAAGAGTTATGGACAATACAAGTAGGTCTAGGGACCTTCTGCCTGCCATATCACATCCGTTCCCTGCACCGACGCAAATCTGATCACAAACTGGAGCTGTCAGCAGCAAATCAAATCTCAGAAATCGGACATGGGCCTAGATCTAAATTTTCAGGTCATTACCTGTAGTTTAAAACACTGCTTATTGTTTACTCCATCATTCATTTATTATACAATCATTATATCTGAATCCAAATTATATTCCGAATCCACATCTCTATCTAAACAGTGGTGGCTAATTCCAGTATCAGCCATTTACAGGAGCCCCATCCTTTCCTTCAGTCTTAGCAGATTTACACGTGCTTGCGTAGTCCCCAGAAAAATGAGGAAACAAAAATTCTTTCCATTCAAACATTCTCATCATGGACATTTTTACTTTTAAAGCCAGGAATGGACTTTCATAGCTAGTAGCGCTCTACTAGGCTTCCCAAAACCTGAGAACCACGCCTGACTTTGGCCATCCTGGCGCCTCCGGTTTTGTTTCCTGTAAGTATGGTTTGACCACTCTCTGTGCTAAGGACACCAGGTATGCTGCCAAGGAGTGGTGTGCTGTCCTGGCTGGATGGGGCAAGCTCACACAACTCTGACTCTTCTCCCAGTCCATGGGAGAGAAACTCTGTTATTATGAAGATATTATTCCTCTACGTTTTCCACAGTGACATTCCGGGTGGGTGGGTGGGTGGGTGTGCGCGCACTGACACGTGCACCTTGTCTTTCTCTTTCTCTGGATCCCAGTGTCTTCCTGGACATTTCTAAATTCTGCTTTGTCACAGATATTCCCTATGATGAGAGGACACAGAGCCTCCTACACACAGAGCCTCTGGCAAGTTTAGTTAAGGAAGTGGGAAGGGAAAGAAAAAAATACTTTAAGAAAACCATAGATTAAACGTCCCCAATTTTCTACTACACATTGCTGAGACGGAGGATCCTATTCCCAAAGCAAATGCCATTCTTTGCCAAGAGCACAAAAAACAAATAGGTGACCCATGGGTCAGATATGAAACAGAAATAAGCTTTGTTTCATCTGCATAGTGTTTTAAAACAATAGCAAGCCAGTTGGATTTTTTTAATAACAGATGAAATGCCCACAAATTAAGATAAACAGGATCTTCATTCTCCCGGGCAAAATCAGTTGGGTCTAAGGAGTCTGGGCTCTTCAGACAGGACAAGCCTCCTCCTTAGGTGGGCACAGACCTCCCCTCGCCAATCTGCCTCACTCAGGTGATGATACACCTTAGCTCACAGGCACTTGAACTGTGGCCCCTGGCTCAGAAACGGGGAGTTGGCGGCTGCTAATTTCACCTTTCCAGGATAAGAAGAGCTGGAGAGGTGTGCTGGGGATGGTTGCATGAGGATGTGGATGCGTGTACTTAATGCCACTGAACTGAGCTGAACACCTAGAGATGGTGAAGATGGTAAATTTTATGATTACTGTATTTTACAATAAAAAAAAAAGAAGTCTTAGTACTCAATTTAGGTGACAAAAATTCCAGACCCTTTGGTTGACTGTCTGGTTAAACCTCAGTGACGTGAAGATCCTTTAGCGCATATACGTAACTCTGTGTGTGCCTTCCCATTTGTTCTATGTTCTCACCTCCCCAGGCAATGGTGAAGCAAATGTCTTAGGGGAACAATGTCTGCTACAATGTAAGGTTCAGTGACCTGAAGACATCTTGGGAAGTGAGAATAATTGAAAACTTCCTAGGACATCATAATTATTAACACAGATATGTAGGTGTCATCATTATTTCTCAATCTGTGCTCAAGGCCCTCCTAAAAAGGTAGGCCCACCTTGCTTGCCATTTCAACCTTACACCCACGGCGAGTGTGAGGTGCCATGGCTGGTGAGTGTTTTCCAGCTTGGGAGTGGGCCGCCGTCCTCATCAGGCTCGGTGAAGATTTATATAGGTGACACTGGGGAGGAGGGTGAGGGGGAGGAAGGGAAGGGGCGTAGAGAACCTTTTGCTACAGTTTTGAGGTAAACAGTAAAGGGCAAGAAGAAGCTCCAGGGGAATCCTGCTATTATTTTCCTAGTCCTACTTGGATTTGCAGGAGTGAATCACCTGCAGATGAGAATGGGCACAGGAGGGGCATTGGCAGCTTATGTTCACAAAGGAAACAGCCTGTCAGACCCTCCAGAATCCAATAGCCTGGGGTGTGTGGGAGCTGAGTGACCTCTGACTTTCAGGAGGCTAACAGAAAAATCAGGACATGCAGTCTCCCCGCTCACTCAGTGAGCATATGCGGGAGATGCAAAGATCAGAAGGAATTATGGGCAGAGAATGCCTCCACATCTTGCCTGCAAGATTCAAAGATAGCAGATCATTCTTCAAGACTACTGACCCCCGTGGAGATGAAAGTTGGGTTAAAAAAGGGTTAGAAGGACCGCTTCCCTGTTGGTGAAATGGGAGGGAAACGGAGCTGTGTTCAGTATTTGAAGTCTCTTTGTGCCTCTGACAGACAAGATCCTGGGGTGGGGCGCAGAGCACCTATAAATGCTCTGCTGGCCCGGATGACCTCGTAGCGGATGGACTGATTCGCCAGGAAGAGGTGGACAGAGTGAGAGATGAAGATGCCAGCGTCATGGGTAGGGTCTGAGACCTGAGTGACCCTGTGATGGGAGCAGCGTGCTGTCCCTGCCAGAAACTCCCTGCACACGTGTGAAGACCTGACCTCACGGAGACAATAGGGCTGCACTCAGGTAAGGTCCAGTGGCCCACGCTGAGGCCCAAGAAGTCGCTGGCTCTTAGGCCTGGGATCTATCATCTTCATTCGCCGTGTCAGCTGAGAACAGGGTTCCTGTCATCTCAGCCTCAGACCTCATTCTTGTATGTGTGGCCCTAGTGTGTGTTCTCTTGTCTCTATACTTCTGTGTCCCTTGGGCCTCTTCTCTCTGCTCCCAGTGGCGATGACAGTTCAGCGGGGTAGCAGCTCATTGACTGTGGTTCATTCCAACAGTCCAGACGTATTCATCCTGAATCCTCTGATGCAATGTGGGACACCATGCTTCCTGCAGCTCTAGGGACTCTTGCATTTACTGGAAGAGAAGACGTACTATTTTCTACGCACCTGCCCCGAATGTAACACGTCTCCCCATCCGTGTACTCTTCAGAATATGCAGTGATGCTGGCGTTGTCAAAGAACAAATCGAGTACGTACATAAAATTAAGTGTGCATAAACTGATTACATGTACATCACATCACACATGGATTCTGTTCTCTAATCAACTCCTGCTTTTTATTTTGTGTAATACTGCCTGCTGGCTAAGTCCCAGCCTGTGGGTGGTTCTTGGAGGCCTAGCACCTTCACCCCCAGGCCTCCTAAGGGGCAAGGTCCAGGTTCTGGTGTCTGAGCTGGCCCTCCAAGAGCAAAGGTGGGTGAGCTGGTGGGCTTTCTGCACTTTCCGAAGCCACTTTGGAGAAAGAAGATGTAAGTGTAGGAGGAAAACAATCTGCTTCTGCAAAGCCGACGGATATCTCCATGGTCATCTATTTTTAATAAATCTCTCACTCTGTTAAGATGCTTGCTTCTCATCCTCCCCTCCCCAACCCAACTCTATCAGTAACAGCGAAGGCCCTGGATGATTGCCTTCTCATTGAGAAAACTGAGGCCCCTTCTCTTGGCTTCCTGTTCGGTTCCCTTGTAATCCAGTACACATGCAAACAGCCCACTTGGTTGCTTTTAGCTCATGGGTTCTGCTTTAATGGGCAAGCAAGTCCTCAGTCAGCCTTTAAGAGCATCACCTCTTGGTAATGCACTCACCCGTTTGCTAGTTTGTCAAAGCCAGGTCTACGATAAGGTAATGAACAGACCTTCTTCGCTGGGAGAGGATGAGACAAAACCCATGGACAGATACTCCACTGCCAGGAAAAAAGGTTCCTCAAAAAATGTTCATGAAAGTACTGATAATAAATATAGTCTCTCAGGACAAAATGTGCAGGTTGGGACAGGCTGTAGCTGTTGCTGCCTGAGGGATCAGCACAGGGTGGTGGTATCTGCAGAGCAGGGAAACGGCCACTAATTCCAAGGATGCACTATTTTCCTTGTGCATCTAGTAATAAATAATGAAGCACTGTCTTCCAGAAAACTTGGAAGGGTTTCTATGTTGTCATCTCATGCCAAGAACTAAAATTTCCAGCAAAGATTGTAGCAAAGGGTGGAACACCAGGAACCAAGACCAAACATTTATTGGATTTTCCAGGTTTGTGCACTTTTGATGAGTTTCTTATGAAGCTAAACTAAAACATAATGTGGTTCTTTTCCTTCTTGAGTTTGTTGGTCATAAGGGCTAGGAAACAATTATTCTGGGTGGACACCACCTACAGCAGGTGAAAATTTTCAATGCTTCCCTCCCCCGAGGAGGTATGTCCACTGACGGAAAGTGTGTATTTGTAAGACACCAGAGGGAGGGGTCGGGGCTTCATTTTCCTGTGTAATCAGATAGTTTCTTGGAAGAAAGACGCTTTGGTAAAGGAATCACACTTTGAGGATGCTTTGGCAGTGTGCTCACGGATCAAGAACACAGGTGTGAGGGCAAGATAGGTTTGCCCTAAGCAATAAGATCTAAGAAAAACAATTCAAAACAATTCCTTTTGCTCTCAAGTGGACGGCCACCCACAAGCCCCTCTTGTACAGTATTTTAGAGCTACCACTGGTGAAGCCGGAACATTCTGTGGGAAATACACATTAGATGCCTCCTGAAAACATAACCACAGCTTCCATCTGGTGGCCTTTAACACAACTAACAGATCCCTCTGCGTAGCCTTGTGACCAGCCAGCCCCCCGTGGGGGGCATTAACCCTTATGCTGAATCCTCCATTGGCTTTTCTCTCATTTCCTATCTCCATGCTTCGCCCTGCTATACTTGGTCTCCTCTTATCACAACTGCCTTCTCCTCAGCCCATCCCCCTTCTGAGCTGCCCAGGTGCGCTGGGGACCCTATCTTCTTGCTGCATTTATCTTGCTAGAAAGCGATAGGCAACTTGAAGGTGAATATTTAATTCGGTATTTTACTGCTGGACAATGGGGAGTTTGTTACATGTTTTCAAAACCTATTGTGCTAAATTAGCATTCTTTTCAGAAAAAGCAGAATATAGCCTTGACTATTTGTGGGAAAGTGAGGCAGTGAGTTTTGAATGAGAGTATAGGTGTGCGTGCATGTGTGCGCGCACGCGTTTAGGGGGGCGGCAGGGGAGAGACAGCAGAGAGACAATGATGGGGAAGAAAGGAGACTACTGAAGAGAAAGAAAATAGGATGATTACACCAACATTTTCTTCATCCTTTTCAGCGAGTAACAAGCACTGAAAACAATCTGCTCTGTGAAAAAACATGTACGGGTGAAGAAGTCACTAGAATACTGGGGATTACTTCTTCAGGGGACCCAGATGGCACCATTAACAATTCCCACGGGAGGAAAACTTTTTTGCTTTCTTCCCTTCGAGCTCAAGGGTGGAAGACCTCTAGAAATAGTTTTCTAGACAGTTTTTACAAGTTTAAGTCACCAGTACCCAGACTTCAACAAATCCCAAAATGGAAAGGGCAGGAGGCCTTACAATATGCAGACCTTAGTGAGGACATTTCGGTAGCTGAAATGAGTGTCTTAGGTTTTACAGCGATTTTTGCATGTGTTTTATGTGATCCTCTCTGTACTATCTCACCTTCCACGGAACTTGTCCGCAGAAACAAAGCCTGTGTCTCCCTGCCACGGGCAGTTTACCTATCATTTAATGACCTCTGCAAGGGGTGGTAGAAGAATCAAAGGAAAATGTAGAGATCCCCCAGACAAACACAAAACAAAACTCAAGCAACAAAAAGCTTGTAGTCTGACTAGGTGGACAAGACAAAGACTTCAGGGATTATTCAGCAGCGTGGTTTGCCAAAAGCTAGTGAACAGGAGTGGGGAGTACGTCTGATAAGATGTTATCAGTAACACAGTTTCAGGCTTTAAAAGCCAAGGCAAGAACATTGTGCAGAGATGCACGGGCTGTTACAGATAAATTAATCTTGTGCTCTGTTTAGAGCAGACTTTGGATGCTAACCTAATCTGGATATGTACTCAAACTGATCTTTGTTATTAGATGTGTGGCTACATATGCCATTAATCTTGGTGACAAATTTTCACCTGTAAGGAGTATTAATACTACCAAAGATGATATATGTAGGAAATGAAGCTCAGCCCTTCCACACAGTAAGTGCTCAGCAAAGATGAGGATGAGGAGCATGACAACTGGGTTGGGGACCCCAACTGTCTCCACCGAGATGCTCCTGAAAGCACAGATGGAGTCTGGGCTTTGCATGCACGTAGCTTATTTGGAAGGGGTTCCCAGGAAGCAGTACTGGGAAAGGGAGATGCAAGGGAAAAAATCACCCAAACAAGTCTTATTAATGAATTCATTCCTATTCTGAGCAACCAGTTTTCAGTCTCCCTGGGAGATCCTCTTGAATCGTGTAGAATCTACCTTAGCAGAAGGTGGGGAATTGGGAGACAGTTACCAAGTGACCACTGGCCTCCATGGGTTTAAGTCTGCCTTCAGCAGGGAACCCAGACCTGCACCCAAATTTCTGGGTGGGTGTGCTCACAGCCCAGCAGCCCTCAGCTCTCTGGTGACCATCTCCAGACAGTGAAGCGGAAAGAACTGGAGGCATGGTGGCTTGATGTGGGACACTGGCCACGTGCCGGGCTCTGCACCTCAGGGGCACTCAGGCCACGTGGGCTCTGGGGCCGTGCATCTGATGGTGATTTTCTCAGATTCACAGTCCAAATCAGCTCCACATACCACACTGCTTGTGAGGAGTATGTTGTATTATGGATGCCTTAAATTTCTTTTCTTTCTTACTCAACAAAACATCCATGTCACCCTCCCTCTACCCTTGAAATGGATGTAATTATTCAATCTTTTGAACTCCTTGTGGAAATACACTGTTTCTCTCTCAGGAGAACTTTTCTCTTAGGATACTTCTTATATTCTACTAGTATTATAGATACTTGAAGAGTTACATTAGGGTTATAATTAACATTACTGGACACCTGCTGTTCAATAGATGATATTGATTTTCATGCATTAAATTTAATCCAACAACTTCTCCAAGGGTGGTAGTTTCCATGAAGGGAAATTGAGACTTGAGTTGGATAATTATCCTGTCAATCATGGCACTGTGTAAAGTGTTGAGATTGTTAAGAATGGCTTGGTCCAAAGTCTGGCCTGTAATCTCCCCAGCAGAGGCCATAAATGTAAACAACCCAGGGGCTTTGCAAGAGACATTAACTGCATTAATCGGGTTATGTGGGTACAGGCAAACCAGGAGAGCATATGAATCTGGGAATGTAGGATATGGACTCAGTTCCAGGTAATTACTGTGCTGTGGAAATTCAGGCAACAGAAGCCTGTGATCCAAAATTGTATTTAAAATCTCACAATTTTTAACTTCTGATAAATAATCAACACCAAAAGAAATCAAATCTGTGAGGGTCAAAGAAACACATCAATGCTCACAATGGGAGTCTGAGGGTCACTCATGTTTGCCTTCTGTTCTAACCCACATGCGGCTCTGTAAAAGTTTTGTTTACGCTATAGTGGTAGTCTACTAAGTATGCAATAGCAAACAAAGAAACAAAAAACCAAACACAACAACAAAAAAAGCAATGTACATTGCCTTAATTACAAAATACTTTATTGCTAAAAATGCTAATCATTATCTGAGCTTTAGCCAGTCACACTCTTATTGCTGGTGGAGGGTCTTGTGTCTCTGCTGATGGCTGCTGACTGATCGGGGTGTTTGGTGTGGTTGCGGCAATTTCTCAAAATAAGAGTGAAGTCGGCCTCATCAAGGGACTCTTCCTGTCAGGAGCGAGTTCTCTGTAGCATAGGAAGTCCTTTGTTGTCACTTCAACAATCTTCATGGCACCTTCACCAGTAGATTCCATTCAATGAAACCACTGTCTTTGCTCATCCACGAGAAGCAACTCCCCATCCGTTCAAGTTTGATCACGAGATCAGAGCAGATCAGCAGATCTTCAGGCTCCACTTCTGATTCTAGTTCTCTTGCTGTTTCCACCCCATCTGCAGTGACTTCCTCCACTGAAGTCTTGAACCCCTCAAAGTCATCCCTGAGGGTTGGAATCAAGTTCTTCCAAACTCTTGTTAATGTTGATGTTCTCACTTCAACCCATGAATCACAAATGTTCTTAATGGCGTATAGAAGAGTGATCCCTTCCCAGAGGTTTTCAAGGTACTCTGCCCAGATCCATCAGAGGAACCACTATCTATGGCAGCTATAGCCTTACAAAATGTATTTCTTACATGCTAAGACCTGAAAGTTGAAATGACTCCTTGATCCATGGACTGCAGAAAGGATATTGTGCTAGCAGGCATGAAAACAACATTAATTTTGTTGTACATCTCCATCGGAGCTCTTGAGTGACCAGGGGCATTGTTAATGACCAGTAATACTTTGAAAGAAATCTTTTTATTCTGAGCAGGAGGCCTCAACGACGGGCTTAAAATGTTCAGTAAACCATGTTGTAAACAGACAAGCTGTCATCCAGGCTTTCTTATTCCATTTCTAGAGCACAGGCAGAGTAGGTTTGGCATAGTTCTTTTTTTTTTAAGATTTTGTTCCTTTGAGTGACAGAGAGACAGAGAGAGAGAGAGAGAGAGAGCACAAGCAGAGGGAGGGGCAGAGGGAGAAGCCGACTTCCCGCTGAGCAGGGAGCTCGACCTGGGGCTCGATCCCAGGGATCACGACCTGAGTCAAAGGCAGCAGCTTAACTGACTGACTCACCCAGGAGCCCCACTGTTTCACTTTCTTATCACTTGTACGTTCCCTGGAGTAGCACTTTTAATTTTTATCAAGACTTTTCTTTTGTGTTCTGTTAAAGAACAAAAGTTCAGCTGAATGAATCTGAATATTGAATTGGCTTTATTAGGAGATCCAAGAATGGTGCAGCATCCCAGCTAGCAAGTGGAGGGGAGTGGCAAGAAGTTGTGCAAAGTGGAAGGTGTTTGAAGGTGGGAGGACAGGCAACAGAAGTTATTAGCAAAAGAAAAGAAAGGATTGTTCTAGGTTAGGTCAGCTTCCCTCAGGGAGAAGGGGAGAGAGTCTTATTAGGTGGATTACCTTCCTTTGGCACATGGAGAGGGACCATGAGACAGATTACCTCACTGATGCTGATCAGAATATTCCTGACTGACAGGTTAACAGTACATTTCTGGGGGCGGCTGGAAATGCAATCAAGTTAGGTATTAAACCCATTTGGTGACTTGTCCTAAGTGATTGATTCCATTGTAGGCTGGTGGTTTTCTTTGTAACAATTCCCCCTCTTTTGGTCAGACTCTCAGTTTACCTGAGGGAGGTGATAAAAATTTAAGGCATTAGCACCACTTTCAGCTCCAGCTTTGAAATTCCTGAAATGTTTGTTGTTCCTTCTGTGTGGCATCCATAGGTCATCCCATTTTTGCTTAATTTCTGTGATATTCACAGGGTCACAGAAGTCAGTCATTCTCATTGCTTCTCCTCCAATGTTCCAGTCTTAGGGAGATCATGTGCTTGGTAGTTAGTGGCCATGAACATGCATTAAGAGCTTTTGAGAGGGGCGCCTGGGTGGCTCAGTTGGTTGAGTGACTGCCTTCGGCTCGGGTCATGATCCCGGAGTTCTGGGATCGAGTCCTGCATCGGGCTCCCTGCTCGGCAGGGGGTCTGCTTCTCCCTCTGACCCTCCCCCCTCTCATGCTCTCTCTCTCATTCTCTCTCTCTCAAATAAATAAATAAAATCTTAAAAAAAAAAAAAAGCTTTTGAGAGGATACAATGCACCAGGAAGAGCTTTATGATAACTGTAAGCAAGGTATTTCCCAATGTTTGCAGTATACTTCAGAGCCGTTGTCCCCAGGATCCAAACCAATTAAAGAAAGAACCCATTGAAAGAGTCACTCTTTTAAGCCAAGTGACTTGCTCAGTAATCTTACATAAGTGAATTTCAACTTCCCCATCAGGGTCAATCTGAGTATAGAACATAGTGTTGGTCAAGCACAGACACCCACTTGCTTATTTAAAGGATATCCTATTTTCAAGAAGTTTGGCGAGAGAGACTAAGGATTTTTAATGGGCAACTACTGCTTTAGCAGTGGATTCCGAAATTGTAGGAATTTAGAAGTTCTTGATCATACCCCATTTACATCTATCGCTAGGCAGGGAAGTAGGGCCCTGCCGAAGGAGTGAATCCTGAATCACGAAAGCCTCTTTGGTAGGGCTTCTCTAACTCAGACAATGCAAAGTCAGGGGAGTTGACCAATAAGATGTCTTACTTTGCCTCTGAAAAACAGGCAGTACACTTAGATTGTCTCCTAGCCTCAAATCTAAATTCCAAGTGCCACCTCCTTAGCAGTGGCCTGAGAGATACAGATGAGGGTGTTATCTTTCTAGGCCAATGTCAGAGGAACAGAGATGAAAAGGAAAAGGGTTTCATGATTAGTTAAAATATGAAGTCTTGGGCAGAAGCAGTCTACCTGGATGTCAGCTACTTGCCTTCCTCCTAGATTTGCTTCCGACATCTTCAGCATCCCGTGGCTTTTACCAGTGTTAGTGGTCAGGAGCACTTGGTAAGGTCCCTTCTTATGGGGTTCGAGAGCTGTCTTCCTCTCACGACATTTCCAGAATACCCAGTTCACCAGGCTCTAGACTAGGACAAACAGGGTCCTTTGAATTGGGACCTGGGAAAACTTCTTGTACCTGCTGATGATAGGCTTGAATGTAAGGCATTGGAGACTTACAGGAGCTGGTCATCCTAGCAGGAGACAACAGGGATCAGCAGAAATGTGTATACCATTAGACACCAGTCTGCAGGTGCCCATGTCATGTGGAGTATGTTTTTTCCCAACGGCAAACTGTGAACAGTCAGCAAGACCAGAGGCAATGCCTTAGACCAGGGAAGTCCAGCAGTTTTGGCAAGTTTAGAAATTTTAAGTTGGAGGATCCTATCGGTTCTCTCAACCTTGTCTGATGATTGACATGATCGTATCATCGTAATTTTAAGAAGCTGGCAGGGTTTTCATTACATTCATACGATTTGCCCAGTGAAGTGGGTGTTCTGACCAATGGAGATCATGGAGAACAAACCCCAAGTGGGAAACACATTTTCTAACAGTTTCTCGGCCACATAAGCCCATCAGCCTCCCAGCAGGGGAAAGCTTCAGTTCATCCAGAAAACACACACGCATTAAGAACATATTGATAACTCATACTGAGTGGTAGCCAGATGAAGCCTAGCTGCAGGTGTTCAAAGGGTCCAGAGGGAAAAGGTCTGAAGCCTCCGGGAGCAAAAGCAGTTTTTCCAAAATGATAGACCTAACAGGTCAGGCATCGCTGGTTGTCAGTTTTTGAAATTTTATAGAAGTCTCCTCACCAATTCATAATTTCAGTCATTTTAAATGCACTGTGCATTTAAGGTGAAGGATTGCAACCCCTGCCCCACCCCCAAATTGGCCAGAAAGCCAGGGAGAATCAAGTGGCCATCCTGGGTTTCCCAGAGCCCTGTCTGTTTAATTTACAGGCATTGTCTGTCCATCTTAATTTCTCTGCCACAGGAGCAGACTGTTGCCATGTCACACAAACATCAGGATGGCAAAAATCTGGCTCCAAGGGGTCGCTTTTTGCAGAAGCAGCATGGACTTCATGCACCTGAGCCACAATCTTTATAAACTCTACATGAAAGTCAGCAGGGGCATCCCTTAATACTCTGGTTCAGCCCTTTCACTGCGAGCCTCAATTTTGATGACAGCAATTCAGAAGGTAAGGGGATAATTACAAATGATAACGTTATACAAGGACATATCAGATTTCTAGGTATTTCACAGATTTTCTAGAACACTTACAGACCTGTACAAATACAACGTAAAGAGGACCTAGTATCATTTCTTACTTGTCAGTCATTTCTTACTTGTCAGTACTTCCCATGTATTTTAACATTATCTAATAAGCCTGGTTAGTTGAAAAAATCCTTTGAAATGTCCCAAGGATACTCTGGAAAAAAATCCCAAAGTATTTCCAGGTCCAAAGACTTCATTTACAATTTGATTTTGATAAGTTTGTCAAAAATACCAACAAGCAAAAAAACAAAAAACAAACAAACAAAAAAAACCAACAACACTTGGTCAAATAGGACCACAGGTCACTGAAACAACAAACTGTCTACTTAGCCACTGACAGTTAAAGATTCTGCAAACACAGAAAGTTAAAAGCTGAAAAAGCAAACAAAAAAATAAAACCTTAGCTTTTCTTAACAGAGTTCAGCTTTCTTGAGGAATCAAAGACCTCATAAAGTCACGTAAAATTATCTTGACAATACCCAGAAATTTTGCTCTCCAGGCATATTACTTAAAAGGAAAACCAACAAAAAAACCTTTTACAATCTCTTATCAAACAAAAGCAGACCAATAGTCCAAGAAAACTTTGTCCTCTTAGAAAGAAAACTAAGTTCTAATTTTGGACCAACCTACTTCTGATACTAAAATTCATTTTTAATTTCATTTTAATCTTAGCCTGCTTGACCACACATTAAAATTCCTTTTCAAAGAATCCTGTCCCACCAACTGTCTACAGCTTTCACTTCTGCAATCAGATTTTGTCCTATGCTTTTCCTCTTTAGTGTAGTAACTACTATTTCATTATTTTAACTTATTTGGAAATGATCTAAATACTCAATCAATTTCCGTCTTGGGATTTAACTTAGCGAGACTCTGAAGTTTCAAGTTACCTCCAAAACCCATTCAGGTAATTATAATACATAATTTAATTTGTTTAACTGCACTGTGTTCATTGTTGATAACTCTAAAGACATGACTATAAACCAACAAACTGAAACTAACTTTAATTTACTGAAGATTATTCCAGGACACGTGAACTTGGAAAACATTTGGGTTAGTTTCTGTGACATTTCTTAGAATTTTTATGAATAGTGATTTATATAGTGCCTGTTTGTTTAAGACTATGAAAGAGAGACCTTTCACAAATTGTCGGCAATACCATCTGGAGGTAAACATACATCTGCAACGCATTTATAGGAACACATGAACATACAGATGAAAACCGAGACCTCATAGCTTCAGTTTTAAAACCACTGCCATGAACAAAACTCACTCATTATAAAAGTTGGATCTTAATTTGTTTTTCCGGTAGATGGAAAAAGGTACAATTACCTGCCTAGATGGTTAAAGCTTTTTCTACTAGTATTTGTGAAGACACAGGATCTGCATTTGTCCTTGACAAGTCCAGTTCCAAAAGACCTTTCCCCCTTTTGTTTTCTTGATAAGAATTACTGCCTTCAAATCTGCATTTTAAAGAAATAGCCTTGATAAGAGTCTCCGAGACCAGATAGATCATTTACATTTCATTTTTTTTTTGGAAGGGCCAATTGCAGCAACCTTTAATTTCATTTTTTCCAATTAATTTACATTTCAAAGGCAGAGGAGAAAAACACAAGCCCCTCCTAGAAGGAGGTTTGTTCCAGTAAAGGCCAGAGTTTTTACAATGCTTGGGAGCCTTGTGAGATTAAACAGGGAGGTTTTGGAATTGGTAAAAAAAAAATATTGGTGGGCTTTGAATTGTTCCTGGAGCCACACCTCTTGTCCTGCAAGGACAGGAGTTGCAAAATCGTCTTAAGGCCTTTTGTTACAGGTACCTTTGCTCTCTTGAGTTTTTCATTAGCCTTTAGCAATAAATCTTTCAACGAAACTGTTTTGGAATTTTGAAACCTTTTGGAGCCTGCTACATGGCAATTAAAGTAAGTATCCCATTCTGTTTGTTTGTTTGCTTTCAAGGGCACTTCTTAAATGATCTTATTTAATGAGAACGTCCCCGACAACTGGCCATTGTAATTCCAGGTTATCGTTGGTAAAATTTTTCCATCTTGCTAGATATTGGCAACTTTCAGGACTATGGTTCTTACACATAAAATAAGCAGGTGTGCTGGAAGGATATAAAACTTCGTCCACCTTCTCACTAGGCCTTTGGGTTCCTCAGAGCCAAACTAATACCTAAATAGAGATGAAGGTGAAGCCCCAGCTTGCTGACTTGTCCTGAATGACCCCCCCAGGGCTGGGGGCTGGGGGGTGCTTTACAGTGTACCTCACTGCACGGAAATGTTCTTGATTGGCAGGTAACCTGGTGCGTGTCTAACCCGTCCCCGACCAGCTTATCCTATCATGGGTCCTTGGAGACGGTGAGTGCTCTAATAGCCTTTAAATGCTGACCTGTACCCATCAGTGTCTGTGGCTTTATTTTTGGCTTCCGAGATTCCCTTTAGCAGCAAGTGGCCTTTATTTAAAGCAATCCCAGAGGCCTTGCACTGGCCCCAGTCGAGCTGAAATCAAACCCAGTTTGGTCCTGGACCCAGGCGAGTTCTTAGCTCTGACCCTGTCCCGTCCTCCGGTGATCATGAGCAATTCTCAGTGTGGACCAACGCAGCAGACTTCAGGGAAATGGGGAGCGCAGACCAGGCCTGGAGACAGGACTAAGCCACAAAACCCCCGTTCAAGGAGACTGCCAAATACAACTGTAGAAGGGGTTCTAACATGGAGCTGTGGACTGAACCAAGGGCTAAGGGCCGGCACTCTGCTAGAGCCTCCTGTTACTCTCGAGGGCTCTGTGAACCCTGGGCTGCAAAGCTGGTTAGATCTAGAGCTCCAACGCAAAAAGGCCAGAGCTCAGACCAACAGGAACTCACCAACAGGCCTTGGAAATGGCAAAAAAGACAGTGAACTCAAACCTGTTTGCAGGGCGCCATGTCTGTGTTTCTCTTTGTCCCCAAGTGCTGACAGAGGTTTGCTTCGGGTCCCAACGCTGCCACCAAATCTGCTAGAGAACAAAAGTTCAACTGCGTGACTCTGAAGGCTTAATTACCTTTGTTAATCAATTTAGGAGGCAGACAGTACCCCATCTGGCAAATGGAGGGGAGCTCTGAGGAAGTGTACAAAATGGAAGGTTTTTATAGGAAGGAGGATGGGCCAAGAAAGTCATGAGCAAAAGAAAAAGAAAGGATTGCTCAAGGCAAGGTCACCTTCCCTTAGTGGGTAAGGGCAGGAGGTCTTATTACGTGGATGAGACCTCAGCTTCCTTTGGTGGGGGATTAAGAGGGCTCATGTGACAGATCACATCACTGAAACAGAAAATCCTCGGCTGACCATTTAAGACAACATTTCTGGGGAAGACTGAAACTGCAATTAGGTTAGGGGTGAAGCCCCAGGTTGTTGACTTGTCCTAAAATGACACCATGTTGGGCCTGTGTTTTTCTTTTAAACAGTTCACAACTGGGCTAACTGTGTGGTCAAGAGGCCCAGCTGTCAGCCTGTCTTGGCGTTTGACATGCCTTCCTCTCCGAGCTTAATTATCTCTAGCTTTCGGTTGAAAAGTGAGAGAAGTGTGACTCTTCCTGTCACTTGAGCTGTCAGAGGTCACTGAGGTTAGGCATCGGACTGATTTCAATACTGCTGTGTCTCAGAGAGTAGGGTGGCTCGGGGAGAAGGAAAGAGATGGGGCAGAGCTGGGTGCTGGAGCAGTCAAAACACACACAGCACTGACTGATTAAGTTTGTGGTCTTCCAGGAGCACACTTTGGGCATCCCAGAACAATTAGAATAGCAACATCAAAAATCCCTCACTACGGATCGCCCTAACAAATACAGTAATAATGAAAAATTTGAGATATTGTGAGAATTACCAAAATATTGTGAGACCCAAAGTGAGCAAATGCTGTGGGGAAAATGGCACCTGCAGACTTGCTTGATGCAGGGTCGTCACAAACCCTCAGTTTGTAAAAAAAAAACAAAAACAAAAACAACAAAACACAGTATCTGCGAAGTGCAACCAGACAAGGTGTGTCTGTAAGTATGCCAGGGCCTAGTTTTTGTTAAGCACTCAATGCAAAATAGCTACTTGGGAGGCATGTTCTTATGACTCTTCTACTCCAGAATCCACATTGGCTCCCCATTGCCTGACACATCAGTTTCCATTTTAAATTCCTCACTAAGGCTGCCTGTTTGTAAATCATCACAATCTAGACCTAATCTACCCCTCAAAATGCACGTCCCCCCATCCCAAACAAACACCCTTTGATTCAAGCAATTTTGTTTTTCCCTCCTTCCTAGGATTCTGGCCTCAGCATTTTGTTTATATCATTCCCCTCATTGGGTTGTTCTGGTTGCACATTTTTACTTTTTGTAGATGGTAGATGATGATAGATAGATACATAGATAGATGATAGATAGATTACTGATAGATGAGAGACTTTAGAGTAAAGCAATCCAATGACACCATGTACTCATGGACTCTACTATTGAGTCCACTCTGGGCCTTAGTGTTTTGATCTCTAAAATTGAGCTACTACTACTAATTTTCCAGCATTTCTGAGTGGGGGAAAGAACCTATTTCAGTACCTAGAACACAGAAATGTCTCAACTTAGTCATCTTCGCCCTCCTCCATCACCAATCCCCAACCCTTCCCCTCTGCGGCTGCAGGCTCTGTGGGCATCCCTAATTGCTCCAGGTCATTTATAATTGACTCTCTCCTGACAGCTCACAGCACTTTTATCTACACTCTCATTTATTGTCATTCTAGTCCTTCTCAATGCTTACACTTCATCTCCTCAAATTATCTTCCATTTCCCAGCAGCAAGTGCGGAGACGGGTCCTCCCACCGCCCAGAGCAGGAGGCTGAGTGCCGCACACCTGAGCAGGGACTGGAAGGAGGGGGGACCTGTCTTCTCACTCAAGCTCCACAGCTTGTGCTTACAGAGTCTCCGAACCAGCTGCTTCCCTGGGTCTTCTCATTCATTAAATGGAATCCATCCTTATGGAACCTGTCTACTGTACATAGTTGCTGAGGCCATGAGATTCAAAAAAAAAAAAAAAGAAGAAGAAAGCATTTTACAAAGAAGTGTATTTTGACATGACCTTCCTTCCAGGATATAGATCAGGACTGCTGATAGATGGGAAGCACTGGGGCCTGATCTGTATTCATGCCATTCCATCCTGGAAAGTGAGAATGATTGCGAGCCCTCCCTCTCCATATAGGTAAGGAAACAGAAGCTTAGAGATGGTGAGTAACTTTCCAAGATCTACAGCTAAGGAATGCAAGTTAATCCCAGGGCTGTTGGGCCTCAAAGTCTGTGACAATAGGATGCAGAAAAGGGGAAGTTTTAGGTGAAGAAAAAAAATAATTTTATATTTGGTGAGTGCTCTCACTAAGATGCATTAATCGTCATGTCTAAACGGCTCTAAAAAAGAATGCGTGACAGATAAACTAAGAGTGGAAGTGGCTTTCTAAATGTTCTAAATGCCCTCTGTGCATGAGCTTCCCACAGGTGCTAATATCAGAAACGGTAGTGTTGCTGAGACAGGCTACCCCAGGCCATTGTGACATGAGGATTGCTGAATTGTTACGTTCCAATTAAAAACTGCTTACAATCCGACTGCAACACTAATTTATTTTAACATGACTGTTTCCATGTAAGGCTATTAGCTAGGTACGTATCTTAGTCGATACACTAATCATCTCTATAAATTACCTCCACTCTGTCTACAACCCCCATCTACCTGTGGGCGTCCCTGTTTCGGTCACTAATGGAAACTCTCCCTCTTACCACTTTGACCACTTTGTGGTGGCTTGAGTGCATCCAGAAGAAAAGGGAAGAAACTCCATTCCATTCCAGGCAATCCTTATAACCGCTTATTTTAGTGGTTAAAATTCAGTGCTGTCATGGCATAATTTACAAGAAATAGAATGTATCCCTCTTAATGGTACACTGTGATTATTGATGAATGTGTGTTCTACTATAATGTTATCCCAGTCGGGGCGCAGAACATTTCCATCCCCCCCCCCACCAAAGGTGCCCTTCTGCCCATGACGCTCAGTTTCCCTTGCCTCGTCCTCAGGCAGTTAGTGATGGGATTTCCAACAGGGGACGTTAGGTTTTCCTACTCTAGAACTTTATATAACTGGACTCGTAAAGTGTTCATCCTACTGTGAGCGGCCTTTGCTATGGAGTGGCTCTCGCTCGGGACCCACACCTGCATTTCCGCATCCCCAGGCCTGGATGCCACCCCAGCAGGCTTCTGCTCCGTGACCGGCTCGGGCAGAGAACCTCATGCGAAATCCTCAAGGTGTTTCAAAAATATATACATATAAAAGCGGGAAGGAAGCAGGAATGACAGGTTCCTTGCAGCAGGGAACCTATCATTTCTGCCTCCTTCCCTGCAACGTCTCTCTGTGGCAAGGAGCGCAAGGCTGTGCCCCAAAGCGTGTGGGATAAGAAGCAAAGTAAAATCAAAGTATCCCGAGAAAAAGCTCAGATTAGAATCTACACGGTGAATTTTATTCTAATTAATAAAAATCTAACACTTATCCTGGAACACAGGAAGCCAAGCTGGTGACTCACACGTCAAAAGGCAAGTTAGTTTTTAATTACACAGAGTTTTAGAACAACAATACTACAGCTGTGAATATTTAATTCACGTATTGCACACACGTGCACACAGCCACACCCCCCCCACACACACACAGAGGATATTTTAATAACTCTGGGTCCTTATTCTCTTAAGATTATATAAGGAATGAATGGTTAAACTGCTACGTCAGATATTCTGAGTCCAGAGCCTGACTTTTAGTCTCTATGGTATCCCTCAAAACAGAGCCCTCTGCCATGGGAGAGCAATAGAAAAGAAAACTTTTGATTCTGGTGCCAACTGCTTCCATTCCTAAAAGCAAGACAGCTTCACAGGAACGCTGCCCAGAGCTGCGGGATGGGGTACAGACACAGGCGCTCAGCTTCTCCAAAGGCTTCAAACTGAGTGTCTGTGACTCCCCAAGAATCCGTGCGCCGAAAACCTGATGCCCGAGGTGATGTTAGTAGGAGCTGAGGTCTTTGGAAGCTGAGCAGGTCATGAAGGCAGAGCCCTTAAAAGAGAGGCTCCAGACAACACTTTGCCTGTTTCCGCGAGGTGAGGACCGGCTGGGTGAGCAGTCAGCAGCCTGTGACCCCGGCTGTGAGTGCCACCGCATCGCACGGCCCGGCCTGCCGTGCTGGCCCCTGAGTGTGCACTGCCAACCTCCAGAGCCCTGAGAAATCAATCCCTCTCCTTCAGAAGCATCCATCTATGGTATTTCGTGCTCACTGCCTGGATGGACTAAGATGCCAAAGTAGGAGTGACTTTTCCAGACCACACTTACTAATTCCTAACCGATGGGAGAGTCAGCGCTGTGCGAGTCAAACCCTGTGTGCACTTCCCCACTTTCCACTTTTTCTCCGAGCCCCGCTCCTCCCCTTCTCTGATCTCATCCAAGTGCCAGGGAAAGAAATTTCCCAAAGATATACTCGTCGATGCAGGCTAGGTTTCGGGGAACTGACTTATTTTTCATGGGGGTGGGGAGGGTGGAAAACACACAGGATGATTGTGCATGAGCAGAGTGGGTATTTCTCAATAAGCACACACGCCCTGCTGAAAGGGAAGGTGGATATGCTTTCAGTTTCATACTGTCCTTCGAAGCTGAGAGAGAAAAGCCATGGCTGGTGAGTCTCTGACCGTCTGAAAGGGCATGTCTGGGGGAAGCACAGTCCTGGCTGGTCTATAGATCTGTGACTGTGCGGGTGGGCACAACGGGGGGTGGGGGCCACCAGGGAGCAGGTGGGAAGGCCAAAGGAGGGCCCGGGAGACTCCTCAAAGCCTGAAGAAAGGCAAGGCCAGGGCCAGGAGGGAACTGGGGCTTCATGGGCATCCTGGGGATGCTCTGTGGTCCTAGCTGAACGGTAAAGGCCTGAGTGTGGCGGCCGAAGTGGCTGGGGAAAGGACGTGGGACATCACTCTTCAGTATTTTCTTATGCGGAGTTGAGTACACGTGGGGCATGTGGGGAAGACCCCAGGTTTTCAGATGCAAATGGTGGGAGAGCACCTCTGTCCTTAGGCTGCTCAGTGAGCGCCCAGGGTCAATGCTGAAGGGACACCGAGAGACTGTGGGGGTCTTCAGGGGTCCCGCGCTGCGTGGGGAGGGACGTCAAGTCTAAAGCAGGCTCCTCCTTGGTGCTGACCTGAGAGAAAATGAGACAGTTTCCATGACTTGAGGAATCCTTGTGCTTCACTCAGACAAGACCCTGAAGGACAAGCGGAAGCTGTTTGTCAGCTCAGTGAACACAGGGACCCTCAACGGCTTGCTGGATGAACTCTTAGAGAAAAGAGTGCTGAACCAGGAGGAGATGGAGAGAGTGCGGTACGAAAATGCTACGGTGATGGATAAGGCCCGAGCCCTGATTGACTCCGTCGTTCGGAAAGGGTCACAGGCGTGCAGCATTTTTATTTGTTATATTCGTGAAGAGGACTCCTTCCTCGCAGAGAAGATGGGCCTTTCCTCAGGTAGGGGTCAATTCCTCACACTGAGGTGCATGGCGGGCCCGTGTCCTCGTGCCCCACATTGGCTTTCTTCCTTGGTCAGCTTAGTTTGCAGACAACGTCCCGGTTCCTGGCCTCAGGGCCCCATTTCTGTAGCAGTAGCTCTCCCACAAGTCTCCTGCTTCTTCCCTTTTGTTCCTGGTCCTCTGACCTCAGGAGCCTTCCTTTGACTGACACTCACTTCCCATCCCAAATATGCCATACCCCCTTTGTGGAACGTCATGAGGACAGTCTGAAAAGCTTCATACTATGTTCTCTAGTCATCCTGGCAAAGCACTGACTCAGTCTCTCTCTCTCTCAGTCTCTCTCTCTCCTTAAAGTCCAGGGCTCCCTGGGAACTTATGTAGTCATCTGACATAAAGACTCAGATACTTTTTATAACATCTCTCCAACATCTGACTCTCCAGGAGGAACCGAATATACTTCAGGGATGGTGGAACACTCAGAATAAATTCACTGCTTATAGAAAAGTAAGGATTTTAAGTGGACTCTTCCTTCTAGGTACCTCCTCGCATTTTCTTTTGAGTAAGAGTGTCCACTAGTGTGGTTCTGGGCTGTGGACCACTCTATGAGGCCCAGCCCCCCTGTACCTCCAGTTCTTCTAAGAGCCCAAGACCAGGTGCAGACATCTGAACAGCTCCTTCTGTGGTCACTTAGTCCCACCACACAGTGAAGATAGGAGCTCCAGTGGAGTCCAGCCCTGGTCTCTTAGGCACTTGCCAAAGCCATTTAGAAAAAGAAGATGTTCTTTGAAAATGAGAAGCTTTTTTTCCTGGGGATTGGCCTGGAGGCACTTGTCCAACCCACGGGGACATACTAGCCTGGAGTCTGCCGCTCCAGTTGTCACGTGTCCCTCCCTGGTCAGGGTCCTCATGGCTTCATCTCTCTCTCATCCATCGGCCAATTTCTGTAGGTCCATAGACTATGACAATGAGATATAATATTTGGATGCACTTTAATGGGAGAGATCTTCCTAAAAGAAAGTTCTTGGTCATAAGAAGACCTACTTCCTATTGCCATAAAAAGGCCTCCTCCAGAGAATGTTCTTTTTTTTTTTTTAAAGATTTTATTTATTTATTTGACAGAGAAAGAGACACACAGCAAGAGAGGGAACACAAGCAGGGGGAGTGGGAGAGGGAGAAGCAGGCTTCCCGCCGAGCAGGGAGCCAGATGTGGGGCTCGATCCCAGGACCTGGGGATCATGACCTGAGCCGAAGGCAGACGCTTAACAACTGAGCCATCCAGGCGCCCCCAGAGAATGTTCTTGAATTCACTGATGGTTAATGCATTCCAACAGTCTAGATGGGAAGGATGGGACAAACTGTAGTGTGCCGCCTTGGGCTTGATGCTGTGACTCCCCTCCATTCAGGGAAATGGACCATGTGACTCCCCTCCATTCAGGGAAATGGACCATGTTTTGTCTATGGAAATCGTGTCTTCAATAAGTACTATAAAATGAAGATTGGGGAGTATTTCTCATTTGTTAGCTTATGCCAATTCTGAAAGTTTCTGGAATAAGCTTCTCAGGTGGGTGTTGTCATACTGAGATCCTCATAAAACCTTGAGCAAATTTAAATTCAATTCTTGTCCTTAAAATCAACAATAATAAAAGTGACCCAAGAGGATCTATTAATAGGTTTGAGTGATTTTATGCAACCAAACAGTGTAACTGCGGCTTCCCACAGTTTTCCTCCTCTGAGTATGGCTTCTGCCACCTAGTAGGACGGATGCAGATTATGGAGGTGATGGTCAGGGATCCTGGCACATGCGTCCTCAGATGGTGGCCTTTGTGGGCTGGAGGAGTAGCATACTTAGGAGCCCATAGATGATAAGGATGACAGTTTGCATGTGTATCCTGGCTTGACCACCTTCCTGTTCAATGACACTTGGGAAACTGACTTAACACTGAGGGCTGGCCAGGGCGTCACCTCATCCTCATTTTCTGCTGTGGTAAATCTTATCAAAGCTAAGTGTCCATGTGCACATGCCTGTTCTTTTTCGTTTTCTCTCCGAAGTCCAGGCCAGCTCTGAGTTAGACACGCAACATGGCACGCGCCTGTCAGGCAGCAGTGTTCACCCCGGGAGCCACCTTGAAACAGGAGAATTAAGAGACCTCTTGATTCTACATCAGTTTCTGTCTCAATTCCCCTTCATCTTAGAAAGCAGAAATGGAGAGCAACTTGCAGACACTCCTTTGTTCTGCCTCCAGGGGGAACGTTCAGTCAGCCAGGCTAGAGGCTTTGGCTTCTCAGTGACGGCTGCGGTTCTAAGTTAGCTGCACCTTGAACAGGCCCACAGAACGTGTGTTCACTAGGGAGTGTCCAACGGGTCCGGCGAGATTATTTAGAGACCATAAGTGACTATTTTAATGTCCCGAATCTTTCCTCAGGTGCACCATCTGAGAGTCAACTTAACTCAGACTTTGAAGCAGCAATTCTTCCTTCAACAGGTAACGGTATTTTCCAAGCAAGAACATTTTTTGAACCTCATCTTTTTTGACATTAAGTCTGTGTTCACAGGATGACCCCAGAGTGAGAGGGCGATAGGTTACTCTCATGGATGGGTCCTATGCCTTTCTCTCTTCTTAATCTCTGTGCTTTAGCAGAGGCCATCTCTGTAGCTTTACCACCATGTTCATACTCACAAACCTAAATCTGTGTCCCAAACCCGACTACCCGCTTGAACACCACACTTGACTCTTCTAGTGCCTACTGAACATATGCGCTCATGTTTCCCTCAGGGAGCTGAGCTTGTCATCCTTCCCCTACCTTTGCTTCTCCTCGTTTCCCCTGTCCTGGTTAATGGCACCACTATCACCCAGTTATTCAAACCAGAAACCTGAATTGTCTTGGGTTTTCTTTTCCCTCACTTCCAACATTCAAGCAGTGGCCAAGCTTACTGATTCCTCTCTCAAATACAGATCCTGCTCTCCACTTCTATTTCTGCTACTATATTTCAGAATCCTGATTCTTACAGTGGCCTATGGTTCTTCAGCCATAACTCCTACTATATTTTTCTTGTCATTAAAGAATTAAATCTTCCTTTTCCCCTATTGGACTTTAAACGTTATGAGGAAATTAGACACACCTGACTTATTTGTAGGTAAGATCCCATCACAGTAGTTGATTCAGTGTGCATGCAATAAATGTTTAAAATACTATTTCACTGAATAATTTCGACAAAATTGCTAGTATACTAGGCCATAAGAAAAATATTTGACACATGCCAACTGTGTTATAGATCTTGCTCTATGGACTGTTTAGAGAGGAATGAACAAGACAAACAAGGTTCCTGCTTTTACTGATCTTATAAAAATACACGAAATGTGAAGGAATAGGTATTTAAGAATTTCCACCATTAAATTAAAGCTAGACAAAAATTTTGGGATGGAAATGACACTACACACAACCCTTTCAGCTAAGATGATCCCAGACAGTAGTAAATTACCCTGGTGTCAAGTTAATCTACCATACGGAAAGATTAGTCATCAGATGATTTTCAATTAAGAATTCTTATTGAGATAAGTTCTTAAAATATTAGGGCTCTAGAGTCATTCATTCATTTCTTCATTAATTTATGCATTCAGCAGCATACAAGTGTTTATAAGTATTTTAAGCACAAAGATGTGGGCATGAGATGTGGATACAAAAGATATGGATTCAAAGACATCGTGCTTTTACCAAGGAAATTCAATACAGAAGAAAGAAAAGATCCTATAGTCTAGTGGAAAAAATTTACAGTTCTAGGCAACAGCATGGCCTTTCCTTGGAGCATATATTACAAATGGATTATCATCATCACTGTGAGAAAGAGAAATATGAAAGCAGTAGGTGGCCAGGAAGTTAGCATTAGGCCCAGTGTCACAGAAGAAAGATGAGAAGCTCCCTCCAAAAATCTTCAGTGGAGATGATTCATTAAACACAGCCCAGTGTGAATTTGATGGGCTCAGAGAACTCTGTGGATACAAGGAAAGAGGACATAATTTATGGGGCAAATGGCAAAATAATCAGAAGACATTTTCAGGGGTATTTCTCATAATGGGGAACTTTCTAGAGATGGGGCAAAACTCTTTCAGTTGTGCCTATAGTTGAAGGAGTGTTTGTATTTCTGACAGAAGACAAACACGACAAAAACCCATTTAAGATTTTGGAAACTGTGGGCAAAGACCTCATTACTGGTGTTTTGCATGGCTTGTTGGAAAAAGATGTTCTGAAATTGGAGGAAGCAGAAAAGAAAAAATTTTATGATGCCAAACCTGAAGACAAGCCCTGGGTCTTTCTGGACTCTGTGCGACAGAAACGGCAGAAGGCAGGTCAAGCCCTTGTCCAAACTTTCATTAATACGGACAAATATTCCACCAGTGTAAAAGGTAAACTGAAATCACTTAACAATGGGTGTCTCAAATTTTCCAGAATCTACTTAACACCAAGGGCCCTCCAGGGTCCTCCATAATCCCACCATCCTTCCATTACTAATGTATAATTTTTACTAAATCTGTCATCATCCTCTGAGAGGCCATCTTGCCTTTTGTGGGAGGGGATCCACTTTCCAATTAGCTAAGAAGCTGAGTCGCTGTGCTTCCGTTGCTCACAGAAAGAGCTGAGTGTGGACATGGTGTAGTAAAGGATACCTGCATGTGGACCCAGGTTCCGTCACTGTAGATACTCCATGATTTCATTCCAGCTCCTTATCCTCCCTGGGCATCAGTCTCAGGATCTGGGAAAAGGTGACAATTTTGGTAACTTCTTCACAGGCTGGGGACATCATGGCAGGCACAGGCTGACAACTCTGAAGATAGTCGCTCTCATCCAGAATTCTCTGAATTCCAGATACACTTACCCTTAGCTGCACATTCAACATTTCCATCCAAAGACTCCACTGACTTCCCAAAACTAACATCTATAGAGTTAAACACTCAATTCCCCTCATCAGATCTGTTCTGAATAGACAGGACTATAATCCACCAAGTTTCTTCATCCAGAGCACAGGTGTTTTCTTCATGAGGGAATAGTAGCTCTCTGCAGAGTGCCAGCCACACGGTAGGCATGTAATAAACACGGGATGAATACAACAGATAAAGAACAGGCATGCAGTAGATACTAGTTCTCATAAGTATGACTTCGCTTCTAGTATTTAGACCTTTCTAGTGCTTACTCATTTCTGTACATTACAAAATATGATCAGGAGAACACCTGTAAAGTGTTCAATCTATTAAAACACTTTAATTCTGACCTAGATTGAATTATAAGTATTACTAGAACCTAAATAGCCTCTTACCCAAGTTCACCAGTGACAGACTTGATTCACTACAGAGGTTAAGCTCAAATCCCAGTCCTGAAATCTCAGAGTTGATCAATAATAATAATAATAATAATAATAAGCAATAATAAACAAAAGGCAATAGAAACTGTAGAGACTTCACTATAGCAAATATGCTTTTTCAACAAGTCCATGTGAGGCTCCCTGGGTGCTCTCTGCACGCGGGGGCCCCAGAGGAATACCAGGGCACCTGCAGGCCAGGAAGCTGGGTGACTTGGGCTACTGGCATATGGAAAGACTTTGGCCAGGGCTTCTGGACACGGATACCATTCTGATATACTTCATTTAACAAACTCATATATGTGCATACTATGTAACGAGCACTGTTAGTATTGGGAATAACTACTTGGATGCCTACCTGCCAAGGAAGATGGCTCTGTCTTACCTTGGACCAGTCTCTTCCTTTTTGTATCAGTTTAAGGGGTTTCTTAAGCATTTCATTAAGTAACAGATAAGACAAACGTTAAAATTTTCATCTAAACTCCGAATTCTCTCATTTCTTTCTGTGTGCTGCCAGGCGAATGGAACCCCCTTTGGGCAGCAGGCAGCACTACAGTATTTATTATGTTATAATGAAAAGATTCATTTTCATGCTAACTTTACTATTAAATGTGAGATAGAAATCCTATCTAATTCTCAATTTTATCTGCAAACACGGTATCTGTACACAGATACAAGATGGTCATTAGGAGCTGATGTTTGTTAATTAGGATGTTCACCAAACCTAGACACAACCTGGAAACAGAGGAGAATTTTGCTGAGAAAATATACCCTCTGACAGACTAGCCCAGGAGCCTGGACGTCCTCACGTTGGTGGAATCTTCTGGAATACAAAGGGAGAGCAAGTGTCTCTGTTTAAGAAATGTTCAGAAAGCCTGGTTTCTTTAAAGACTTATAATTGGCTGCATCTCCAGAAGTCAGGTTTTTAGCATTCAGTTTAGAAAGACATTTATCACAAAAATTTTATTTAAAGACTAATGGAAACAAATGAGTAAAACAAGAAAAAAAACTATAAAGTATAAAAACTGAAAATTTTGTACAGGATAACATTGCTTTTGTCATTTAAATAAAAGAAAATCAGAGGAATTCTTGGTTGGCTTGTGTTACTGAACACAAAAGTTTATTCCTTTCATGGACAAAATCCTTGTTACATTAGGTCTTGACAAACTGCTAAATTCTGTTTATAGATTCCTCTTCCTCATTTCTCCAAGGGCGGGCTCAGGACTTTCCAAGCTTTTTGCGCAATCTCAGTTAAGTGAGGCCAAGCGGGGTCGGATAGTCCTACATTTCTCTAGAGATTAGGTCAGGATGAGTCAGAGACAAACTTTCCCAAGTGGGAGGAGGTATTTTCTCACATTTGAAAACATGGGTTGAAAACTTCATGCTAGTTAGTTCGCCCTTTGGGGGCAAGGACATCCAGAGCGCATTAGGATCCCTGACAGACAACCATCTGGTCAACCCTGGACACAGGGCTGGTTACTAGATAGGTTTCTCCTTTAAGTCGCTGACTTTACATCTCAGTGAGGAGCCACCACAGTCTGTCTCCTCCACAAAGGTCAAGCATCCGTGCACAGTTGAAGATTCCATTACCTATGTGCGTGGGTGTCTCTACATGTTGCATGAGGTGGGAGTGGACTCAGGATTGTACACCGTCCGGCAGGATAGCTACCAGCCACACCCGGCTACTCAGGGCTGGAGTTGTGACCAGTAACACAAATTGAGAGGATGAGATTTTGCATATATCATGTTAAAATATATTACTCATATTAATTAATTTCATCTGTTTCTTTTTAGTTTCTGGTGGCTCAGATGGTTGAGTGTCTGCCTTCGGCTCGGGTCATGGTCCCGGGGTTCTGGGATCAAGCCCCGCACTGGGCTCCCTGCTCGGCAGGGAGCCTGCTTCTCCCTCTCCCTCTACTGTTCACCCTGCTTGTGCTCTCTCGCTCTGTCAAATAAATAAATAAAATCTTAAAAAACAAAAAGACATTACAAAATTTTGAATTGCACATGTGGCTCAATTTCATTTCTTCTTTTTTTTTTAAGATTTTATTTATTTATTTGACACAGAGAGAGACACAGCGAGAGAGGGAACACAAGCAGGGGGAGTGGGAGAGGGAGAAGCAGGCTTCCCACTGAGCAGGTAGCCTGATGCGGGGCTTGATCCCAGGACCCTGGGATCATGACCTGAGCCGAAGGCAGATGCTTAACGACTGAGCCACCCAGGCGCCCCTCAATTTCATTTCTAAGGGACAGCACTCCAATAAATCTTAACTCAGGATGTTCTTGCTCAGAGACAACAGAAGGTCCACATGGATGAGTGAGGGCCCTAGAGTAAAACCATTGGAAAAATCAAACTGTTTTTGCTGAATATGGCAAGGCTAATTTTGACCCCAAATCATCAAGGTGTTTTTGTCAGAATTATCAGAATTATCAGAAACCTACACTTGCATTTTCTACTAACAATCCTCCTGTTCTTTCCTACTCAAAATACGTCTCCTCACACTAGAGGTTAGACACAATCATAACCCCTACACGTTGAAAGACCTTTTTGCCATGATTTCCCTTCTCTGTCAGTATTCTTAAGGGAAAATTGGGTCACAAAGGCAGATATCCTAATTTATGATCTGTGATGTATCCTGCAGGTCCCGAGGACATGTCTGGGCAACCTGAGCCAGAAGAATCTACAGATACTCTCAAGCTTTGTCCTCATGAAGAATTCATGAAACTGTATAAAGAGAAGGCTGCAGAGGTGCTATGCTCGGTCCATGACATCGAGAATAAGAGATGGTGTCACTAATAACACCATTTCCTAAAATGCTGATTGCAGAGTTAGGGAGTGGGGACAGTGGTAATCTTATCCATAGATACTCTGAGCAAGGAGAAAATCATGTGGCCTCCCACAGACTCCAATTGTCTTTCAACCCTATGGTAGAATACAGATCTCTCATCTTGTTCATTTATTTGTTCTCGAGTCTATTTGTTATTTATGACAATTTTAGCTGTAGTTACAGAAGCAAAATATTTATAAGAGAACATGGCTGAGTAACAGTTGTTTGCATTCTAGTTGAAAAGCCTAGACAAAAAGCATATTTAAAAAAAATATAATTAAAGTCTGCATAGCATTTTATGTTGATGCGTTAAAAAAAAAGTACCAAAATAAAAATATTACCAAAGAAAAAGGACCCCTGATGTATTCATTTTTAGCTGGAGCCGGTGCCAAGTGTCTCCTGGCTTCTACAAAACTGGATCTGAATCTTTTTTTTTTTTTAAGATTTTATTTATTTATTTGAGAGAGCAAGAATCAGAGAGAGAGAGAGTACATGAGGGGGGGAGGGTTAGAGGGAGAAGCAGGCTCCCCGCTGAGCAGGGAGCCTGATGCGGGACTCGATCCCGGGACTCCAGGATCATGACCTGAGCCAAAGGCAGTTGCTTAACCAACTGAACCACCCAGGCGCCCAAAACTGGATCTGAATCTTGAATGCTAAGAAGGACGACTAGGTGGAGAAGAGAGAGGAAGAGAGGGTAGGGAGTAGTCTAGTCTCCTGAAGATTCTTGAGTCACCATCCCAGCTATATACTGGGTCCTGTTGTGGGTTCTTAAAAGACAACTTACTTCCAGTTTGCACTTCTTGCTACTGCCAACTCAATCCATTACAGGGAGATAGGAGAGCAGTGTCTTCTGGTACAGGACGGGGGACAGGGCAGCTAAAGGAGCCCTGAGCACAGTAACAGTGACTGGCGGATGAGAGTGTCAAAGGAGATTAAGTAAGTCAAGCTCACTGTATATCCATTTCCTGCAGATCTACCCAATAAAGGAGAGAAAGGATCGTACTCGTCTCGCTCTCATCATATGCAATATAGAGTTTGATCATCTTCCTCCCAGGGATGGGGCCGAACTTGACATTGCAGGGATGAGGAGTCTACTGGAGGGTCTTGGCTACAGTGTGGACGTGAAAAAGAAACTCACTGCTAAGGTAGGGGCCCCTCACCCACCCCAAACGTGTATATTCAACATGCATCCTACTACGAAGATGTTAGCTTTAGCATATTAGGCAAATACTTTGACATCCTTAGGCCATATTTGTGTGTGTGTTTAAGACATGAAAGTAAGAAACAGGGAAAATCTATGTCTTTTTTGAGCTATAAATATCCTCAGTTACACAACTGGACAAAGTGATTGGCATGTGTATCCAGACAATCCTTATTTCCAAAGTGGGATGATTAGGACTCAGTCCCAACAGTCCCCAGAAAATCCTAGAGTGATGTATATTTCACAGACATGTACTCACCATGTACGTATCGAGTCCCAGCTGTGTACCAGGGGCACTTCCTGGCATTGGGCACAGGTCTGTGAATGAGACAGGAAGCTCCCAGCTGCAGTGCTCTGGGCTCGCTTGGTGCGGGATAATCGTACCATAAGCAAAACAGAAAACTTCACAGCTTTGGTGCGTCTCTGTAAGAGTGAAAAGAAAGTGAAAAGTAAGTGAAAAGAAGAAAGCAAAAGGAAGCAGGAGAGCAAACTGGTGAGTGGGGATCCCAGCAAACATGATGTTAGGTGGGATCTTTGGGGAGTTACTACAGGAGCAGACACATGAGTATGGGGAACCACACAGCTCTGGACAGCTGTGGATGAACTGCATTCGGAACTGAAAGGAAGCCACACAGTAGCGGCACAGAAAGACCGGAGTGGCTGGAGCCGGGGGGAGACGAGGCAGGGTGAGAGAGGAGTATTTGTACATCAGAGGTTTGATTTTATTCTAAGCACAGTGGGAAGGGTTTTACGGGATCTGGTAGGATGCATTTATGACCCAAGGCTCTTTTTTTTTTTTAATAATTTTTTATTGTTATGTTAATCACCATACATTACATCATTAGTTTTTGATGCAGTGTTCCATGATTCATTGTTTGTGCATAACACCCA